AAAAAAGTAAAAAACCTCTATTTAATGATAAATATTTAACAATTCAAATTATAAAATACAAGACTCTTTTTATAACTAAATTTTAAAAAATGAGATGTAATTAACATCTATATATATTATGTAGGTCTGCAGTGAAAAATAATAGTTCATTGACAAATTTTGTTAATAATATACACAATTAATCTTACAATTTACAACATAATTTAGTGTAGTTTATGTTGACTATTTTGATTTAATTGTTTGGATTAGTATGTATGCATTTAAATGTTAACATTATTGTAAACAAAGTTTGTTATCAATAGAGACATTTTCAAAATTCTTGATTTGTAGTCAAAGTCAAGGATTCAAATTTTTATATTGGTAAATAACTATCTTTTTTAATGTATTAAAAAAATAAATAAGGACATTTTCAACAAATATTTTTGAATTCTAATTGATGAATTCTTCATTTATAATTTAAGTCTCGTGACTAATGTATTTACAATTTTAATTTTGAAATACATTGTATTCATGTCGTGGAACGCCCTTAATTAAGCACGGTAAACCATATGAATACATCCCAAGGTTTTATTGAGAAGTAAGGGGAGAAACGGAAGGACCAACGTTTCCAGTGTAGGTCACATTGTGGTGATGGCAGCAAATTAATGTATGATGTATAAGGTGGAAACCTCTCCTCCTCCTACGCCTGCATGCGTCTTGGTGTCAAACGTCAGGCATTGTTCAGAGCCATCTACGTTAGATATTGTCTTCAGTACTGCCCTTTCATAACATGGAAAAAGTAGATGAAACTAGTGGGAGACAAAATTTAAATTCATGAGAGGCACATAAAGCTATTTTGGAACAAGCTAGCTAGATAGAAAAACAAGCTAGTTGGCAACAACTTAATTTTCAGAATTCATATTAAAGGTTTAAATCAGTATTAGTTAAATAAGCCCTCCATTCTGCATAAAGAAATACAGAGGAGAAAGTTAACAAAAGTCGTTTGATGGTTATATCAAGAGTTTAAAATCAAATTTCCTCTTTACTAATTAAGAGAAAAGGTGTTATAGAGATAGCTTTTTTATATCACATTTTGATATAATTTTTATGTATCATTAAATGAGTTGATGTATTTAATATTATGAGTTTCATATGAATAAAAAGAACTAATTATTTAAATAACACGTTAGATTATACTAAAAAATTATTTCAAAATCATTTTTCGATTAAGATAAGAGGGTAAAGAAAATGTGTTAGGTACGCTTAAATACAAATGGATAAATAACATTTAATTACAAGTGAGCTTTCAATTTAGTTTATAACACCAAATTAATTAAACTGACTAATCAAGACGTTGAATTTGATTTTTGTGAAGAACAGAAGAATTGGATGAAATTAAAGAGATTGTGCAGTTTGCTCCCCCAAACAAGTTGTGAGGGACATGTGAAGGAAGCTTGTTTTCATTGAAATAAAAAGAACATACAAACAAAGATCCTTATAAGCGTATTTTTCTATTCCTTGCACAGATTTGGAATAGGCGTGGATACCTCCAAGCCTCAATATTTAACTCTCCAAAGTCAGCATGCATATGCTGATGCACCCTAATTAAATTATAAAACAGACAAGAATGACATAAAATTTTTATAAAGATTAGTATTTATCAATTAAATTTGTAAAATAATTAAGCAAAAAATATTTAAAATTATATTATTTTAATAAAATATTACAAGAAAATATTAAAACAACATCATTTCTTGCTTTAAAAATTAGGATGTTTTAGTTTTTTCAATAAGAATTTATTAAAATAACATAATTTTTAAGTTTTGTTGTCTAATTTTTTACAATATAAATTAATATTCACTTTTCTAATTCTTATATAAAATAAAATTTCTTAGACTAATACTCATTTTTTCAATTCTTATATAATATAAACTTTTTCCCGCAATGAATTAAACTGTAAGCAATAGAAAATCAGTATTTTGTAAAATAAAATTTCTTAGACTAATACTCATTTATTTTTTATTTTACTTTACTCATATATTATGTAATTGAAACTCAGTATCTCTTAATTTTAATGAAAGGAGATGATTAATAAATCATTTAAGTAATTAGTAAGTGACTGTAAATTAGGATATTTTATTTTTAATGAAAAAAGATGATTATTAAACCATTTAAATCATTAGTAAGTGACTGCAAATTAAAAGAACAAAAAGAAAACAATTTCCTGATCGCAGGGAAGGAAGTATTGTTCCATTGTCACCAGAATTTCCAACATGTGTGTGATGCATGAGATGGTCAGTAAAAATAAATAAATTATAATTATTAATTAAAAGCAAAATATGGGTTTTGGGCGGTGTGGGAGGTGACTAATTACTAATTAGGATAGCAGTCGATGCAGACAAGTAAGATTTTCCATGATTCCCGATGACTAATGTTCTTAATTACAAAGATTAATTAATTTTGATGGTTACCAGAAAGGAATGCATGATGCAATCTCCACCGTTGAAGGAGATCCGCGTATCCACCGACCCTGGCTTTTAGGGGAAAAAAAGGGTTTTTTAAGGCAAACGTAATTTTTGTATTTTTTATTAAAAGTTTATCTATTTGTGTCTTTTAAGAATATAAAATAAGAAGTAATAATTGAATAATTATTAATTAATAATTATTATTTTTTAGTTTAAAAGTAATGAAATTAATT